AGAGGAACCGGAGAACTGGATCTGCTCATTCGCATCTGGCGGAGCCGAGTGCCGCCTGGACGCAGCCACTCCCACCGTGGCCCCACAGGTCGCCCGGACAGAAGTTGGCCTTCACCGACCAGCTGTAGGTGGAGAAGCAGGTGTAGATGGCATTGTCGGAGCAGTCGCCCGGGGAGAGGCCACAGGCGGCGGTCAGCGTCCGGCCGCAGTACCGGCCCGATGGCTGACCGCAGCACTTGCAGCTGGGCGAGGCATTCGCCGGAGGCTCACAGGTCGCCAAAGACAAAGAGAGGAGAAAGAACGTCAGGAGGAAGGAGGAAACTGTGAAGCGGTCCATTGCTCAGAGTCGACTGACACACCAAACTAAAAAAGTGTGCTCACCAGTCAGGAGAACAACACTGCAGCACCAGTATGCCCGCATGCACAGTTGTTCAGCAGTGGAAAATTGTAATTTATGTAATCAAGGGCTAAAATGGTAAAAAGACAATAATGATCGTGATGTGTAGGTATTTGTAGGTGGAGGAGGATGAGGGTGGAGGAAGGAGAGAAAAAGAAAATAATTGAGAATTTTAGAGTGGACTGAAAACAGTCCAGGGTGTCGAGGAGTGGTGGTGGCATCTTCTTCAAATTGAATGAGTGCCACCAGCAGTGCATTGGGGGTTTCAAGAGGATTGAGGTGTGAGTGACTAATGCACTAGTGTATGGTGAACAGAAGATAAGCATTTGGAGCCACTTGTGGGTTAGCAGTTGTCATAGTCATCGTCCTCATCATTCGAAGTGACCGTGGAGGTGATCGGCAGCGGCGGCGGCAGTTTTGCTATGCTCGGGTTGGCCACCAGCACCGACGCTCGCTGCTGTTGACTGTTGGCGGTGGTGGCGGCAGCCAGTTTGGCGCTCTTCCGAAGAGGGGCGGCACCACCGCCATTGCCACCATCCTCTTCCGCGTCATAGTCCTCTTCAGTTGACTCGTCGTCGTCATCGTCGCCGTAGCCATCGCCATTGTTGTCATAATCTGAATCTTGGTCAGAGCTGAAAGTCTTCCTCTTGGTGGCAGCGCTCGCAGAGGCATTGTTTCTCTGTGAAGCAGCACTGGCGGTAGCCGTCTGCGGGTACTGATGAATGGATGGCGGCTGCACCTGCGGCAGATTTGAGTTTCCGCCAGCCAAAGAGATGACACTGGTCAGGGCATTTAATGACGAGCCACCACTGCCACTACTGGTGCTGGGCGATGTGCCAAAAAGAGGCGTCGACGAGGGCGTCACCATTGCCCCCGGACTGCTGTTGAAGTAGTTGAGACGACCGGCGGCGTTCTTCTTTGGTGGTAAGGGATGCGAGCTGCTGGGCGCAGTAGCGGTAGAAGGTATCACTAGCGGTGAGTAGTTGGCATCACCAGGCCGTGGCTTTCGCGGCCGACCACGAGGTCGAGGGCCCTGCTGAATCGGTGGCGTCCCAGCACCGCCAGCGTTGCTGAGGTTAAGCACTCCCGAAGAGCTCGACGGAGTTGGACGAGTGGTGGCTGCTGATATTCGAGACGGTGGCTCGGTGGTGTTGTTGTGACTTCGAATGCTAAAATCTACAGGTCCAGCGTCAGGGTCTGCGTCACCTGCTTCCTCTAGTGCCGAGGAGACGTCTGGTATCCCTTGGGCAATCTCCCGAAGAAATCCAAACTCAGGTTTTTGAAGAATGGAGGTTTTTCTACAAGTGATCGTAAGGACACAATTGTCAATGTTTGCTCATCATAAAAGTTTGTCCAGAAAAGGCTTACATGTGAGTCGGTGTTAGCGTGCGAGCGTTTCTGCTCCTTGTCACTTCGGCCGATGACTGCAGAAGCTGCTCAACAAAGATTTCAAGTGACTTTGCTGTAAATGATTACAAAAGATACAGTATCAGCTGATGCTGAACAGTTTCACAACAAACAACAACTGTAACTTACATATGATGATGGGCACGACTTGAGCAACTTTGCCCACCTCTTCGTCCGACTGCATAATCTTCTTTATCCGCGCTGGCGGAAAGCGAGCATTGTACTTTTTCTTCTTTGATGGCATCCTTGCAGAGGCGGGGGCAATATAATGTTGTATATATTATATTCGGTGGGCTGTGACGAGGAAAACACGAAGAGGATCCGGCGTCCAGACAATCGCCGCTGGATAACTGAGTAAGTGGGCAGCAGAGTGCAGACGACGCCTGCTAAATGGCCTGGTAGTGGTGTCGGTGTTGACCTTTAACTGCTGCTGAACAGCTCAGCTGTGGTGAAGCTGGTGTGCCGCAGTGGAGGCAATGCAGGTGGGTTGATGCGGCGGCGACGGCGGCGACCAGGTTCCACCGGACGGAGGTCTCT